TGCATAGCAACCCATCCTAAACAGATCAGTGACCAGAAACCAAAATAGAGTTGAGTGGAGTTCACAAGCATAGTATTCACTGAAAGTGATGTCTTCAAGTGCACAGGGGCTGCATAACCACAGAAAAATGGCCAAGGGATTGGCCTGAGATGGACTACATCAAAACTGGTATCAATGCAGAGCTTCATCTGAACAGATTGACCTTGTGTAGGTGGCAGCCATGGTTGAGAAGCTATCTTGGTATGAACTATAATGTGCACACTAGAAAAACACCTCTGTCACAACCTCTTCCATGATTAACTATTTTCAGCTTGCTAAGAACAGATGCATTCATCACCTCATGATCAAGCAATGATATACCAAGAGGTACATGAAAACAACGAATCTCCTTGGTCTCATCAAGCATTTCCAAGGCTGTACAAGTGCAGGAAGCACACACCAGATTTGTTGTTGAGTTGATACATACCATGGGAGCTTCCAGAGTCGGCCGGGGTGACCCGTGGCGAGTTCCTCACAGCCATGTAGAACGACGGCCATGGTGTAGGCCGTAACTCAAGCATCACAACCCATCAACCTCAGTTAAATCGGTGGTGGCCATGGTTGGTGTTGATTGACTCCCAGTGACATACGACTTCGGCATTTCGAAGCCAATGCGAGATGTTGCGAGAAGATGTCTACATGCAAAGTGACAATTCCTCGAACACTGGCGTGCACCCAAAGCCTGGCATGCTCCGAGATATCGAACTCAACATGGCGGGGCTTGGGGTTGAAGCACTGGAAGTGTAGATGTCGTTGATGACATTGGAGTAAGCCAAAGACAACGTGTGTCGACCAAGTCATCCCATGGGACCCTTTCGCGGCCATGGTCGTGGCGGAGGTCGCCGAGGACATCGCCGAGGCCGCCGGTCGTACTCCACGACGCCATCTCGGGCGCCGACGAAGACGACGTTCATGCCGGTGGGACGCGACGAGGACTCCGCCTGCGAACTGTTTCTTGCCCTCGGAGCGGGCACGCACGGGCCCGCATGCTGAGCATGTGGGAGACGGCGATGTGCTCGGAGTAGACCCCGTAGGGCGAGTCGGTGGCGGCACAAACCTTGAGCGCGACTGGGTAGAGTAGCGCGCGCTGGTGGTGGGGTGTGGCCTGCTGCGCGGCATGCCCCAACGAGGATGCGGGGTTGAGACGATTGATTTGGAGGAGACGGAGAGGATTTGGCCTTTGTGAGCATCATCCGCGTGCTCGACCCACGGAGGCCTCGGCCTCGGGCTCTGGGTCCGCTCGGCGTCGGTGTTGTAGCGGATCTGGTCGGCGAAGATGGCGGCATTGGGCGCTGGGTAAGTCGTGGGCGCCGCTTTTTTTCAGATACAAACCTCGTCGCGTGAGGATCGAGGCGCGCGCGTGTTATGACGGAGCTGGTGGAGAAGGCCGCAGAGGCGGGATGTACTCGATGTCAACGGGGCCGCACTGGGTGAGCTTCTGGACGACGTCGAGAGGCGCGTCGGGGTTGGTGGAGGTGAACTGGTGGACCTGTATGTCGGCGAGGGAGTCGGCACCCGGGAGCAAGCCATGGTCGGCGGGGTCAAACTCGAGGGTGATGTCGGCGCCGTCAGCAACGTCGGTGGCGGCCGGCTCCTCCAGGATGTGGGCAGGCTGCTGGAATAGCCCACCCCAGTTGTCGAAGCTGTGGTCGGTGGGCTGCTCGAAGAGCCCACCCCGAGCTTATCCACGCACGACGGCGGCAGCACTGGGTCAGAGCGGAGGGGATGTCGGCGGGCTGCTCGAAGAATACGCCCCAATTGTCAGCTACCACCTCGACTCCGTCCGCAGCAGACAGAGACGGAACGAGGACGCCCGGAGAGGCCTCGCACGCGCCGTCCTACACGGTGAATCTCTGATCCCACTTCGCTTCGTACTTGTGGAAGATTTTGCGGATTTTGTCGAGAAGGAGTTGGGTAGAAGGAGAGATCTCGGTAAGAGGATTCATGGTGTTAGAAACCGAGAATCGACGGCTCTGGTACCAGTTGTTAGCAACTAGATTGGTTCACAGATAACGTGATTCAGGCAAGGAAAGTACAGGACCTCATAGGAAAGGAAGGTCGGAATCAGCGAGCAAGGGAATAAGGTGCTAGGATATAGGTCTAGAAGGAACTGGAGATAGGAATCCGGGAACAAGATAGATAGAGAGTTGGGAAGAAGAACAGTAACTAGGGAGAGGTACTATGTTTTGTTCGATGCCCTTCCTCTTGCCATCCCGGCCCTTTATACTGGCTTGGCCTTGCCTTTGCTTCTATCTGACAGTCCGGCCCCACCTGACAGTCCATCTTACACGTATCCCTGACAAGATGCAAGTAGTCAACTGCACACGCCCCTGCCTTTCACTTGTGCAGTCAGTTTATCTTAGTTTGGTTTATTAAGTTTTTTAAGCAAATTGACAAGACCCCTGCCTTTCATTTGAGGTAGAAAAGAAGAAACAAAACTTGGTTTTGGTAGTCACTCTATGAATCAAACAAACATGGGCTCATGTACAACACAATTTGCAAGAACTTCATTGCAGTCAACGAGAACCATTGCTCTCATTCAATATATCCCTCATGTAAAAAGTATACAAAAATCAGTATGAATTACAGCATAAGTTAGGCAACTCGCAAAACCATTTATAAATTCGAGAAAAAGCTTAGCTATCAATTTTGCATTATTTATCATGGCAAGTTGATAGAGAACATGTCCTGGAATATTTTGTCCATGTTAGAGTTCTGAGACACCACGACAAAAGCATAGCAGTCAAATTGTCCTCTAAGATTTTGTGCACCTAGTTAGTAAGAGTGTGTTTCCCTTCAACTTATCAGCCGGCTTATCAGCTAAAATCTACAGTATTCTCTCTCACAACAAAACAGCTTCAGCCAACTTTAATAACAGCCGAACAGGTCCACGTTAGTAAGAGTTGTGTTTCCCAGGCGTCTGAATCCAACTGTGGAAACTATGTTGTCTTGTTTTTTTTTTAGGGAAACATGGGCCGTGTTAATTCGGCTGGCTGGCTGGCTGATTGCCGGCTGGCCAGCCACCTCACAAAATCACTATTCACGTCCTGCCAGAACAGTATTTTTCTCTCACAACAATTATCCAAAACAGTATTTTTCAGTCCTGCCGAACAGGCCCATGAGGGGCTTCGCCCCTACTGAAATTAATTAATTAAAAAAAACAGTGCAGATGGTACAAACTGGAAATGACAATACAAAGGAGGAGGGGAAGCAAAGGAGGGGATTAAGGAACAAACAAAAGAAAGGAAGAAAATAAACAGTAGGAGACAGCTGTTGGCTAGACTAGATTTTGTATCCATTGCTGAATCTCAGGGAAGTATTTCTTCTTTGCCCTCCACAGGAGTAAAGCAAATTCATGCTTGAAGATTGCCTTGCACTGTTGAGTTGACTCCACATCATTGAAGATTTTTGTTTTCAAAAGATCATCATTGAAGATTTTGTTGTTTCTACACTTCCAGATAGCCCAACACATTAAAATGATGATCTCCAAGAAGAAAGGTTTGTTAATTTGGGCTCTTAGATGCTCAATAATCTGGAACGGGTCCAAAATTATCACTGGCTGTAGCTGTAGGATTCCCCAGCAACTTGCTGCAAATTGACAGCCAATGAATAAATGGGCGACTGATTCTTCAACCCCTTCATTGCAGAGGACACAGTTGTAGCTTGGAAGTTCCATGTTTCTTCGTTTTAGCAATTCTCTAGTACTTAGTCTATCTTTCAAAAGCAGCCAAAAGAATACCTTGTGGTTCTTCTGGCAGGAACTCTTCCATAATTTCTTGAAGACTGCATTACATGGCATGAACCCACTGAGATGTTTATATGCCTGTCTTGAGGAGAACCTATTTGATGCCCAGAACTATGTTGTCTTGTTGCCTGAATACTTCGTTGTTCGTTCCTTTCCACCCAGAATCTTGATCATCTCATCTCTTAACTCATAAATGCCAACAAGCTCTGTTGCATTAGTGTGCTAAACCAATAAACGAGGATCAACAGTATTGATAAGTTTACAAATAGCACCATCAACTTTGTACCTCTCATGGCGCTTGCACACCTCTGTGGCACGGCTCTTGATGTCTCCTATCTCAGTAGCAATCTTATGGCAAAACTGAAACCGTATCAACAAATCGAGGCTCCTATCAATGTACTTTTTGAAGCACCTAGGCACGTTGGCCTACTCATTTCGCCTGCACCCAATGTTTTTTTAGGCGCTAGGCGGTTTCTAGGCGGTGACCCATCGCCTGGCACCTAGGCGCGCCTAGGCGTTTTCTAGGCGTACAGAGCAGGAAGATAGAAAGGAGCAGCCGAGCAGAGGAGAGAGGAGCAGGGGGCGGGCGGACCTCACCTTGGGGTTCCCGAGAAGCGGGGCGAGGGGCAGCGAGGCAGGTGAGGCGTGGAGCTCACCAGCAGTGGCGGCCCGGCGAGGAGGGGGCGCACGGGGGCTCCAGGGGCGGCGGCGGGCCAGCGGACGGAGGCGGCGCGAGGAGGCCTGCACGGAGGGAGAAGATGGCCGGTGATGCGGAAAACGGGTCCACGGCGTCAAGTACAAGCTTCGCGCACGACGAATCGGCCGGAGACGTACCGTGGCCGGCGAATCGATCCTTCCCGCGCCGCCGCTTTCTTTCCCGCGCAGCCGCCCGCTCACGCGCGCGCTCTCCTGCCCGCCAAAACGCGCGCGCATCCCGCCCAGGCGCCGCCTCCTCCGCAAACGCGCGCGCCCACCACCTAGATGCTGCTTCACCCCCTAGGCCCCGCGGGAGGCCTCCGCCCAGCGCCTAGTCGCGCCTAGGCGAGCGCGGAATCGCGCCTTGTTTTTCACTGCCTGCACCACACTCTATGTGGCAATCCACCTTACCCAGAATCCTTTTTTGGGTTAAAAATTTCTGGTTGTCCGCCATTTATCTGAAAATCAGAGGACAAAAAGGAGGAAAACAGAACTGACTTGGACAAGAGCACATTAATCTTCATAAGCATATCTCGAGGGTGGGGCGATTGGAATGGATTTCAGTTGCCTGCCTCAGCGCAGCCTTCGCTTGCTCCACATCCCCCTTGCTGGCGACACCACGATGGAAATAAATGGTAATATGCTGCAGTGATGGCAGGTTTTGAAGGCCCGAGTTGAAACAGCCACTGCCGTCAGCGATTTCTATTGTCTCCTGCACATCAATTGGGAAGCAAACACTTTCTAGTCTTGGCATAGCTCCTAGCTCAAACACCACAAGTCCTATAAACCCCTTCAGATCACACTCTATTAGGCACGGAAATGAACCAGCACCGAAGAAGAATTTCCCAAGGATTCCGAGATTTCTGTGGCCCACGACCAGATTTAGAAAGCGGAGTGCTGACAACCTCCCAAGGATTTCAAGATCCTCTTGCAGTAGCTTCCTCACGGCGATGGATAGGAAGGAGAGGTTCAGTAGAAGCGAGGGATTCATCCAAGCTGGCAACGCAGAGAACCAACAATGTGGTAGTTCCAATCTACGAAGACATCGAGGAGCAACCCAGGCATCCATGTTGCATTCGCCAGAGACCATGATACATAGAGCCTGGACCTTCCGCAGCTTGCATAAGCACTCCAGCAGAGATTTCTGCAAGCTGTTATTATGTCCTGTGCGGAAGACAATATCTAGTATCCTCAGCTCCGTTAGATGACCCAACTCTTCTACGATGTCTGTGGAGTCATCAATGCATAACATTGATAGCTCTTCAAGAGATGTTAGGTTCCTAATCCCTTTTGGTGCTCTTGTACGAATGTCAACGCGTAAGCACATCAAACGCCTTAACCGAACAAAAGTCGAAGGTAAGCTAGAAAGTCCATTTTCACTGACATCCAGTGTTTGTAGAAATTGCAGGTTTCCTATTTCTTCAGGTAGCTGGGCAATGCATGTCTTTATTAATCCTAGGTACCTCAAGTGAAATAGATTTGCGATATGCTTAAGACTGCAAAGTTGTAAAATCTGACAATTTTGAAGCTCTAATACACGCAAAACTCTAAACTGATTGGTTGGCATTAGATTAACAGCAGGTTGAAAGGCAACAATAGACCTCACTTGTTGAATGCTTATAGTAGTCCACGGCATATCTTGATCAATCTTGCTATTTTGTAGAGATAACCTCCGAACCATTGTGGATGCTGATGATTGATACACGTCATTCAGTATTGTGACAAAGTTTTCTTCATTTGCCAAGGAACAGATAAGATCATGCACCATATCATGTACACGGCAATGTTCTATCATTACACAGTACCCTTGATATTTGGGTTGGATTATACTTCTGTTAATGAGCTCACTGAAGTAACTCTCTCCAAGATCAAACAAACTCTCCCCTTGGTTTTCACATTGTATAAAACCTTCAGCAATCCACATCCATATCAAACGGTCTTTGCTAATTTCATAATCCTCTGGAAACACACTTAGATATAATAAGCAAGTCCTTAGATGGGATGGCAGATCATAATAGCTAAGTAACAAAATCCTTCTCATATTCTTCACATCTAGACTATTTTCCAGTCCAGTGCCAATAGAGTTGTACACCTTAAACCACTCTATTTTGTTTCCTCCTTTACTAGACAACAAACTAGCTATTGTGATGATAGCTAAGGGCACACCAGCACATTTCCTTAGTATTCTATTAGAAACATCGGCCAGCTGCTCATCAGGACATTTGACTTTGTCTTCATTGCCAAATATTCTTCTGTACAATAGTATTCTAGAGTTGTGAAGGCATAGAGGTTTCAGCTTATAAGCACCACCAACTTGTTCGGCGACATTCAAAATACGAGTAGTTGTGATAACTCTGTATCCACAAATATTATCAGGCAGAGCACATCTTATCATTTTCCAAACTGAGATATCCCATATGTCATCAAGAACAATGAAGTATCTGTTTATATGGCAAACATAAAACTCATGTTATTAACAAGTTCTGATTCTGCTCACATACGCTGCATTAATTAAGCTGACTAGGTGGATATCATACTATCATAGCTACAGCATTTACAACCTTCCACTCACTACATCAATGATAAAAAAAAGATATACAGTGGTTGTTGCTAATGGGGACATGCAGGACAATTTCTTATTCCTTTTTAGATTTATTATTACTGCCAACTTAGTCTCTGCATATGGCAGTTAAGGAACAGTAGTGTGCAATGGAGAGTGGAATTTAATGTCATGAAAAACAAAATATTAGCACCGTAACATTGAAAGATCATTGCTTCAACAAAATACCATCCAAATGTTTTGGTTCATTATTATTCAACTAAAATTTCCCTCGGTCCATTATATGCCAGTGGGCTATGACATCTAGCTTTTTCAATGTTTCCTACAAATCGAAAGGAGAGCAAATGTCAATATCACCCTAGAGAAGCACACCTATGTTTCCCAGGTTCAAAAGTTGTAAAATCACTATCCCTACCAGGTCTTCCGAGCCATACAGTAAGATGTACGATCCCTAAAACAAGCTTGAGCTTGAATAAGGACATTAAGGCAGAACATTGGTAGGGGTGCAGGATCATCTGGCAAATGCCTTTTTGGGCACAGAAAGAAATTTGCTGCCACTATCTTGTGTGTGCACAGGCAGATTTGTGGCTCCCACAGGAGATCACCATGGATACTGCGATAAGCCGATAAACATGCTCAATGACGCCCCCCAACCTCTTTTCCTCTGAACTCTTACACAACTTCTGCAAGTCTTATGCACCCAGGCACCGTATAATAGGTTATACAAGAGGACCAAAAAGACAGAGAAAGAGAGAAGAAGAGATGTAAGACAAGGGGCAAAGAGGTCAAAGTTGATGGCACAATGCACTCGAAGTGACAAAGTGTCAACTCTCAAATAAATGAACAGAGAGAAACTTGAGTGGTATCAAAATGGACCAGAACTGTTGAGAGGTATTGTCGGGTTTATAAACCCGGGGTCCCTTGGGGACCGGCTTCTACGCCAAGGCTCAGCCCAAGAGTCTAAAACAACAGGCCGGAAGGGCGGCCTAGTCACAGGCCGGAAGGTCTGGCCGAAGAGAAAACAGCGCCCGCTCGTCCGCTACTTCGGCCCATCTCTCCGACCGGAGCACCCGCTTCAGACTCCAGCCGCCTCCGAGCAGCCTCTTCGATCGGAAAGCCTGGCCCAAACGCTACTTCCAACTCCGACCCCGCGTCTCCGACCGGGGATCACAGAAACCCTGCTCACCGCTCTTCTCCGACCGGCGCAACCAGAGCCGACTGGAGCCATCCGACCGAGAACGCCCACTCGGAAGGAACCAGGGGACGAACAGAGAAAGCAAGACAGGGCGCACAAGTCAAACCACGATACCAGGGACCACACCCCGTACGACTGCAGGAACAGTACTCTGCAACCGCCCTGACACAAACAGTATTGTAGGCGCCGATATTTCTCTCTACAGTATTATGGGCGCCGTCGATCTCCTACACGGTAAGGCCCCCCACATGTCTTTGGGCATCACTAGTGTTGTGTGCGTCGGGATTTACCGTACCAGGAGAACGTAGTGAAACTCCTCACATGCCTCTAGACATCGGACAGTATTTACAGGTACTGACGTCGACTCTTCCTGAAGAAGGCAGCACAGCCTCCACATGCATCTGACATTCTACAGTGACATCATCAGTGTTATGGACGCCAACAGTGTTGTGGACACCTACCATTATCTTGTACCCGACGGCGTAGGAAGCAAGACTTAACAACCGACGTTCTCCCTCTTCCTCACTTGTAAAGCCATCCCTTTCATCTATAAAAGGGGATGCACTCTCTTCCAACAGATAAGGGCTCGAGAGGTTCACCGTCCCAGTCCTTTTAGATTCATCAGATCGACCAAGTTCACCAGCTTACAACCACAGAACCGCTAGGTTCGGACTTCAAGCACACGCTTGAACACTTAGCTCATAGCGTAGTTCCTGTCGCTCTCGGCCCTTCCGACCGGAGCCGACCGGACCTCCTGTACATCCCATCTTTCTCATTCTCGTTTGTAACCCCACTGCAGACTTCGAGCACCTAGGCTCAGGAATAAAGTCACCGAGCGACTCCAACTAGACGTAGGACACGTTGCCTGAACCAGTATAAACCCTGTGTCATTGAGTGGTAGGCCACCTCCGATCACAACGTACGGTAAAACTACAAATATTTACTAGTTAGTCACATTCTGCACCGACAGGTATTTTTAGCTAAGTTGTGATCTTTCAATGCTACAACACAAAAGTTTCGAAAGAAAACTCCAGATACATGTGTGTTTAGCCTCCATAGCTCTTGCTCTGAAGGAACTCGCTGATCTCATCAATAACATTGATCCTTGAATTGTTTCTCTTGGCAAGTTGATAGAATAAGTCCTGGAATAATTTGTCCATTTCAGGATTCTGAGTCACCGAAACAAAAGCAGAGCAATCAAATTGTGCCCGAAGCTTTTGGTAAACCGCATTAGCAAGAGTTGTCTTTCCCAAGCCTCCAAATCCAACTATGGAAACTATTTTGTCTTGCTGCCTGTATACTTCTTTCCTTTCCACCAGAATCTTGATCACCTCATCTCTTACCTCATCAATGCCAACAAGCTCTGCTGCATTTGTGTACTGAGCCAACAAACGAGGATCAACATTTATCTTGACAGGCTGAGCAACAACACTATCAATCTTGTACCTCTCACGCCGATCGCTCACCTCTACGACACGCCTCTTGATGTCTCTTATCTCAGTAGCAATCTTACGGCGCAACCGAAACCGAGTCAACAAATCGAGGCTCCTATCAATGTACTTCCTGAAGCCCTTGGCCTGCTCATTCCCCTTGCCCCACACCACAAATGTGTCGATGCTGTCCTCGATGTCGTAGGACAGCTCTCGTAGATCCCTGGCCCAAATCTTGTCTTGCTCATCGAGCTGGTCTGCCGGTGCCTCCGAGAGCTTCTCGAGGGCAACTTTCATGCTCTCAAGCTCGGCCTGTAGGAACATGATCTCCCCCTTCACCCCCTTTTGCAACTTGTACTCGCCGACAAGCAGATTGCCAAGCTTAGCGAGAAGGCTCCGCAGTGCCCCCGTCACCACCTCCATGGATCTGTTGCTGAGAGAGAGGGAAGGAATAAGATTGCCGTGTGTATGTGTGTGCGCAGTGGGCAGAGTGAGTGGAACGCTCAATTGAACTGCGGTGCTCGAATCTAGGACTCACCGGACCTCGAATCTAGGACTCGTCACCGAATCCGGCCGCCGGCTCGCCGCATCGAGCCGACGCTGCGAGGGACTGACAAATTCCGCCGCCCGTTTGATCCAGGGTTGCTGAGCGGCCGTTGACTTGCAACAGGAAGAGGACTCGAAAAGCCCGTTGGGATCGGACGAGTTGCTCCGTGCCCGTGCGTCTGACTTTATGATTTTTATTATAAGTAGCAAATATGCCCGCTCGTTGTGGCAAAAGGGGAAAAAGATTTATTAAATATTTTTAGGAACGATAATAAGAATGGTACATATTATTTATGTTTTACCATTTATAAATTTAAAAATTAATAGTTACAAATTTTTTTGGCGATGGCCATGACATCTGTAATATAATTTATTGTTGGCAACTATGGCAACTATTAAGCCTATATCGAACTAAAATACAATTTTGATGGTTTTTTCTCCAACTGCAAAGCACATAAATATTTAGATATAAATATATCATATCTTTAATTTTTGTTCTATATATGTGCTGGTATAATGAAATACCGAGTTACGTGACCTTTGAGGACCCATAAAAATTTATCAACAAGGAGTTAGTTACCGACGTATCGAAGATTGGTCTATCCAATGATGATTATGATGGGAGACCTCTCTCAACTTTTCACATGCTAGCCCTCACCGTGGACTATAGAGATATATTTATTTAAACTAAATTAGATAAGTAATAAAGTGCTCAAGATTTCAGTTCACGTTTTGATTAGTTGATCTGTCGGCTAATCTACATTTCAATAAGGCGTTAACAATTTAGTATTAGAAATCTTTATTTTCTTAGAGATTGCAAAAAGTTATGGTTCAAATATCCATAATATTATTGATTGATTTATTATTTATTTTATTGGAGAAAGAAAAAGATAACCTGAGCAGATAAATGAACAACCAAAAAACAATGAAAAGATCCAAAACAAAAAAAATGCATGGAAACTGAAACGCGTACATCAACCAACGTAGGAAAAGAAAAATATTATTTATTTATTAGACTAAAACCGAAGGAAACACGGTTTATAGGATTGGGTGGACACAGAATTAACTTTAGAAAAAAAAACAGTTACATGATTGTCGAAACCGAGCCACTTTAGGATTATTAGATTGGACAAAAATATAAAGTGGCTAGAAATTTTGCATCTTTATTATTAGGTATAGATTAATATAATTAATTATTAAAAAAATATACTATCTCCTTTCTAAAATGTACGGTTTTTTCTAAGTTATTTTTAAATTTTGATTATTACGTTTATAATATAAAAAAATACGCCCATTTACCCTATCAAATTATTTTATTAAATAACCATTTGGTATCAAAAAAATTTATTAAATAATCATTTTTTGGTGAATTCTTATTAAATAATTATTTGGGCCAATAGCTCTGCCAATACCTGGCAGTGGAATTACAACAGACCGGTGGAGCAAAAAAAAATATTGGCCAGCGGACCAATGGAGTGCAAAAATATATTGATGTCAAAAAGTATAGTTTTGGAAGCACCTTTCACTAGGTTTTTGGCTTTTGGCTTCTTGATTTTCGAAATGAGTGAAAACAGAGAGTTGTTTCGTAACTGTTTTAGGGAGAGGATTTTTGATTTGTTTCAACCAAATAGTTTACAACTGTTCAACATCACATAGCTTATAACAGTTTTTCACAACTCACAGCAACTTTTCCACGGTTCATAGCTAAATCAAACACATCCTAAGTGTGTCTATAATTTTATTAAATTTTTGTTACCTGAATCTAGATATGCATAGGTGAAAATTAATTTCAAGATTACGATTGTATCAACTCTATTTTTTATCCTAAAATCAATAAAGACTTCCTTTATCCAAAACAAAACTGCATGTCCCGCTGGACGTAGCCAGGTAGTCTGTTGCGGCTTTGCAGGTCTGATGGTCCGGATAATTCACATCGCGAAAGCCGACAAGAGAACAGCTCACATGGCTCCTTCACTCTATGTAAAGCATTACTGATATCATAATTTGGTTTCTGTAATCAGTTTTCTTAGTTTTGGCTTCTGGAAGACCTCTGCCTTTCGGTTGAGGTAAGAAAGGAGAAGCGCAATTTTGTTTCTGTAATCGCTCCATGAATGAATGAATGCAACAAACATTATTGGGTCATCTACAACACAATTTGCAAGAACGCCATTGCGCGAACAAGTATGCCTCTCATTCTATAAATCCCTCATCTAAAATCAGTAACAGATACAGCATAAGTTAATCAACTCGTGAAACCATGTATAGATTTGATGAGAAAAAGCTTTGGTAATTTTGCCAATTGATCCCAAAATGTACACTCTCTACCCTGACACCGAAAGACTGAAAACTCTGACTGTCCAAGCTACCTCTGATCATGCATGTACTCTGAATTTCCTATACAGCTATATCAAATCCAAGAAGCAGAGTCCAAAGCAGCACCATTGTCCATTGGCCACTAGATCGCGCACTCCTCCTGGCGGTCACCACCGGCGCCACCGAGGAACTCCATCGCGGCGACGTGCTTCTCGTGCATCGTGGCCAGCTCCGGGTGGCCATACCTCGCCGCAGCAACGGCATAGCACCCGAGCACATACAAGAACGCGAGGAAGACGAGCCCAAAGAACTGGAAGTTAGCGAGCTGCTCGGCGCGCTCCTGCGCGGCGCGCGCATGGCAGTCAATATGGCCGTCGGCGTCACGCGCGCAGCCGGCGGGGAGCATGGGCCCGTAGAGCGTGAACGCCGTCTGGTAGAACCAGAGCCCCTGCAGCGCGATGAGGACGCCCGAGGCGAGGTCCACCGGGAAGCTCTCCGGCAGGAGCGCCCCCAGGACGGTGGCGGCGACGCAGAGCGCCACGAGGACGACGAGGAGGTAGTGGTAGTAGCCCTCTAGCCCCATGTGCGTCGTGGAGTGGAAGTAGAAGAGCACCAGCTCCGCCGTGAACGCCGTCGCCGCGATGAGGCAGAGTAAGCCGTCCGTCAGCGGGAGGTACCTGTGTGTGTTCGTCGCCGTAAAATGGAAGTTGTCAGCTTTACTGATCTGGTATTACTGAAGAAACAATTAAAAGTACTACGTAGGGAGGGAAAACATGAATTCGGACTGGTGATTCGAAAGCAAACAGAGCCTGGCAGTTCAGCTCTGGTACTACTACACCTGAATCGCTTAAAAATTGTTCCTTGCACTCAAAAACCACTGATAAGGTCATGAACTCGTGATTGCTGCGTAGTGGGGCACGAATGCATGATTGCTGCGTCGTACTACTACTTCAAAACATGGCCCCCTCTTGTTAACAAACGATACGATATGGTTGCTCCCTTGCAGGGACAAAGATTCCAAGATGAAACAAAAGGGCAATATGATTGCAGGATAAACAGAAGGCTGCGAAGGGTTGAAGAAGCATGATTGCAGGGGAAAAAGGGTGAAGCAGGCACTCGTTCGGGTGAGGGAGATCAATCTGGGACCCCCTGTTCCCAACAGCACTCAAATGCAAAACAGAGTCAGACTGCACTTGCTATTGTATAGGTGCAGTAACACACTGGCCCCCACCTCGCACTTGTGGTAAAGGTCCAGCTCAACCATGTAACGTCAGATGCCAAAAGCTTTTCGTTCATTCAAGTAGTGAAGAATGGAGTCTATTCACTGTTGCATATAGTATAGCAACTGTTATTAGTGCTAACAGTAAAGCTAAACATTTTTTTCCAAAAAAAAATGCAAAGTCAGTGTGGCAATTGCCTACTACACGGAGAACAGCAGCACATGCGCATTCAAAAAGGCACGCCGCCACGAAATTCCCTTTCGTCAAAACATGAATTTCTTCCACCAAAACATTGCTACTAGCGGTAGCAAGAGACAAGCAAGCAGGTCGTGGATGGATTTGCAGTAGGCATCACCGCATCAGGCAAGGCCGCGTTTAGTTCGGCCCCGGATTCGGCGCCTGTTATGCAATGTAGCGTTTGTTTTTATTTGGTAATACTTATCCTATCGTTGACTAATTAGACTTAAAACGTTCGTCTCGCAAAGTACAACTAAATTGTGTAATTAGTTTTTAATTTCGTAAACATTTAGTACTCCATGTATGTACCGCAAGTTTAATGTGACAGGGAATCTTCTTTTTGCATAGTGCCAAAATCTGTAAAATGAGGGAACTAAGGCCCAAGTTGGACCACCAGCTCTTTGTGAGCTGGATGGACCACATGGCTGACGGCTGGGCCCGTCAAGAATCCAGATGCGGACGGCGCAATAGTCAAAAACCATCCGCCGCAACGAAGATTCGTACGCCCCCGCCACCCAACTAATCCAACCAACCAGTTGATGGTAATAATAACAATGGCATGATGCCACCTTTTTCTTTTCTTCCAATCCCCAGGTACGACGCCCGTGGTGGCAGTTAGTAGCTAGTACTAGTACCATCTTCTTCATCGTGTTTATCGTGAATCCAACAGATCCTAGTATTATTTTAGAACGATCCAAGGTTTAATTTTACTATAATTAAATTACTAAACTTCGCCCGTCGGGGAAAAAAAAGATGAAAAAAAGGCGAGGTTTGTAGCTGAAAAATCGGATCTTGATCACGCCGGCCGTGCCGCCGACGTTGACCGACGACTGAGACTGACCTGGGCCAGAGCTGGGAGGCGAGCGCGAGGGCGCCGAAGAGGAAGAACATGAGGAGCATCCCGCCGTGCTCCAGGTCGTTGAGGTGCGCCGGGTTGACCTCCCCGCCGTCCACGAAGATCCGGAGGTGCGTGGAGTAGAGCACCTCCACGCACATGTCCGCGAACGCGCCGCCGGCGATCACGTAGAGCTCCAGCAGCCGCAGCGGCGAGGACGACGGGACGGGGTTCCAGGCGCGGACGCGGAACGTCGAGGGCGACGCGGCGTG